GTGAGACGGAGCTTTGCCATCTGTTAGTTCTTTTGGCAGTCCATGAGATACCAGCACTCTTCACCAACACCACAACTCAAAGGCATTCATTCTTCTTCGGTCATTCTTATTCATTGCCTTTCTTTCAGATGCATAGGAAGCAACTGAAAACATTGTGGCTTCCATCACGCATACCTCAGTCTTTAAACTGACACTAGATTTTTAGCGCTTTGGAGTGATCCTTTACTTTCCCAATGCAACACGTCTTTTGATTTCTTGACTACTGCTACCATGAGTGTTGACTGTGGATCCAAGTAAAGTGGCATTGTTGACAACTTCAATCTTTTCTCCATCTATCTTGATGTCCCCTATTTAGTCTAGTGGTGAAGATTTTCTTGCTGTTGTTCTTCTTCCAACTCAACGAGACCCTGTAAGACAGAGAAGAACTGATGCCCACAGGGTTTCTCAAGCTGTACATCCTTATGGAAGCAGACTGCCTTTTCTTTCTCCCTCAGAGCAACTGGTGGCTTTGAACTGATAATCTTCTACTTAGCTGCCAAACGCCTTAACCAATTCACCGTCAGGGCACTACCTGGCACATAGTAAATGCTTCACTAATTCTTGCTGCCGCTGCTGCCAATACCATTTCTGTAACTACTGATGCTGTTACTAAGCAAGGATGGGGAGACTTTGTCTTCCATATTTTGGACTTATTACCAGAAGGAGCCAGTTCCTGGAGAAGGACATCATGCATGTTAAGTAGAGTGTCAGCAAATAAAAAGAGGAAGACATTCAAGGAGATGGGTTGACTCAGTGATGGCAACAGTGGGTTTGAACATTGCAAGGGTCATGAGGATGGTGCAAGATGGGGAAATATACAGTTCTGCTGTACTTTGGTCTCTATCAGATGAAGCCCATTCAGTGGCCCTAACAACAACAACAACTCTGTGACAGTATCTTTGACTTCTTGAGAAAGTTAGCTGCTCCCTCCTCTGCATCCTGTAGCCAGTGAGCCTCTGTTGTGTCCTGATCTTACTATGTTATCATCGTTGGTGTATCACACCCCTCCCCAGATCACATTCTCCAAGAGTTTCCTCGGCTTTGTATCCTCAGTGTTGAGCACACAGCAGCAGGAGCTCAAGAAATATTTGTAAGGTGGGTGGATGAGCAAACGGTTGAAAATCCTAGTGACTGAGGTCTAATTCTTCCAGCAGGCTTGCTCTAAGGGTCCTTATGCCTATTGGTAGAGAGCCCAGGTGGATAAAGCGAGGGTCATCCCATTTCTAAACAGTGTTTATTCCATGAATGTGTTTGGAAAGTGCTGAATCAGAACTTAGAACCTGGCCAGCTCCCTGTGGGAGGAATATCCCTGCTGGATGCAAACTTTCCTCTGCATCGAAAGGAATTGGCAGACACAGAAGAATTTCATGAAACAGCATATGAGCAAGAGCCTACGGTGATGAAAGAAGAAATTCAGGCTGCTTTGAAGGAAATGGCAAAAAGTAAGGCTCCAGGAATAGATGGTATACCAATTGACATATTTCAGCTAACAGATGCTGCCGTGGATGTGCTCACCAAGTTGTGCCAAGAAATCTGGAGAACAACCAGTTGGCCAACGGACTGGAAGAG